AATTAAGAGCCCATACTGGGTGAGTACTTTCTAAAGGTGCCTAGCAACAAGTTTTTGTGTGTCAGATCCAAAAAAAAAATAAAAGTTTTTTTTTTATTAACCCTAATATATATATATATATATATATATATAAAGCGTTTTACAATTTTAACGTATCATAATAAAAACTTTGTAAATACATGTAGGAGTTTTTTCGTAACCCTACTTTTTCTCTCTCGATCTCTTTAAATTCTTTTCATTCTTAGCTGCATACTTTCTTTACTCTTAAACTCTTCTATCTCTCAAACTCTTCTAAGACTGTTTATCAAATGGCGCATTAACGTAATTAGTAGCGTTCTCGCTTCCCGTGCTGGGAGTTAGTGTTCGGTCCTTCACGGGGGAATTTTTTTTAATAATTCTTTTCTATTTATTTTCCAATTTTTTTTTTATATTTCTTAATTTCTTAAAATATACAGGTATATTATACATGAAATAGACAATGATTAGAATATTTACGATTGTTATTTGTTAGTATATTGAAGATTTATCTATTTTCATATATCTGTTAAAAAATAAAATGTTAACTGTAATTCAAATAATCAATTTGTCTTTATAATTTTGCGCAAGATGTTAAAAAATTTATTATTTCTAATTTTTTTGTAATAAATAATTTTCTCTATTTTGTATATATTTAAAAATTAAGAAATATAAAGAAAAATTGAAAAACAAATAAAAAGGAATTATAATAAAAATTCCCCTGTGAAGGATCGAGAACACTAACTACAAGAACGCGAAGCAAGAGCACTACTAATTACGCTAGCGCGCTGCTTAATACATGCTTTAATTTAAGATAATATAAATACGCATATAACAAAAATAAAAAATAAAAAGGCTGCTTCCTTAAGATTAGCTGCGCGTTAGGATAAAATATTTTACCACGATATCACTCTAAAAATATACTACTAATATACCTAGACTCGTTAAAATCCGTTGGTATCTCAGAGCAAGGTCCCCTTGTGAGTCGTCTTCTCTCTTCTTGTCTACACTTATTTGTTTCTTATAATTTTCTGTCGTCTATTCGTCTAACATCTACTTCTACGTCTATGTTCGACTGTTCTCGTCTAACACCTAACGTCGACTGATTTAAGAGTTATTTTCATTTTTTTCCCAATACCTAACATCTTACATAAGCTATTAAGTGTCGTGATTTCCCGCGAATGAATCACGCATCAATTAACAAATCATTCGCACACATACACTCCTCATTCCTTATATTTCCACTCATTCACATTCATTTGTCTCTATATTTTCAACATTTTACAGTAATTTATTTACTTAAAGAATATTTCCAACAATATCTATGTTTTTTAAAAAAAACTATTTATATTTTTTATAATATTTACATAGTATACGAAACAACGAATTAAAAAAACTTATATGAGCATGTTATTGCGATAATTTTTTCTCGTTTTATTCACATCTTAAGATAATTACTCTGTTCATCTCTAATATTTCTGTTATTTGTATATTATTAATACGGAATAATACGAGTTTCATACGAAAATTATATACCATTGAAACGGATCTATTTTGATACCACTTTCTTTTTTATAGATATAAGGCATAGATGAGGTATCGAGGTCATCTAATTTTGAAAGTATTAAAAATTATCGCAAATCGCATGAAAAATTAATATCTTGCAGATATTGTTAAAGTTTTGGGAAATATAAAATAATATAGTGTAATTGTATTACATACAGCCAAATGCAATTAAAAAAGAACACTTTCTATGTACGATTTCCATAGTGATCAAAAGGAAAGATTAAAAAACGAATTTTAAAATTGAAATAATATTCAAAGAGAGTTCCGTATTGTGTTGTATAACGTCAACTCGGATTCAGCACTGTTTGCAAGTCGGTTCGATAGTCCACACTGGAAAAATTTGTAATGTTTGCTGTATATTATATACGTGATATCAATACTCGTGACCTATGAGTCTCATGAATAAAGTTATATGATAAGAACGAAAGAGAAAGAAACAAGTTGAAAAAAGTGTAATTTAATAAAATAGTAGAGACTCATTTAATATGTTTAATCTATGTTATTATTGTTGTAATTTTCAACGTAAATCACATATGTCATGATTACATCTCTGTATCATTAACGATACGTATTACTATGTACTCATACTAGTATCGTTAGATGTAATCTCACTTTTTACTAACATCCCGAAAGAACTGGTAATACGAACAATCGACGAAGATTGGAAAGAACTCTTAAACTCTATAAAGATCCCGAAGAATATCTTGTTGGAACCAATACAATTTCTTTTGAATAAGGCTACTTTCAATTCAACAGATCTTTTTACCAACAACTTGATGGTTCTAGCATGGGAAATCCAGCAAGCCCAGTGCTAGCCAACTTAGTAATGAATTACATACTGAAAAAGATTGAAAGCACTTTACCCTTTCCAGTTCCATTCCTAAAGGTTCATGTTGATGACATTTTCACAGCAATACCTAAGGATGGAATAGACCTAGTACTAAAGACCCTCAACAGCAACTATTTTAGATATAGAAGACAATTGGTACAAAGAAATGTAAGTGAAGTGTACCACATAGCAAATAATAATACAATTAATTGCAGAAACGATAAAAATAATTCAAATACCACTTACAACGAAATATTAAAGTTTAATTATTATCAATAGGACACAGTAATAGAGGGCACCATAATAGTGAGGATACCTAGACTATTGAACACTAGTCTAGATTGAATCAGTATTGTTTTTACTACGTTTTTGAAAATAACAGTTTTAGGATATAACGATTTGCAAATGTTAAGAACAGTTAATTTTTAAAAATATAAGTATGTATGTCTTCGTAATAATATGTAAAAGACTCTGAACATTAACGCGATCGAGGAAATATTAAATAACTATCTTTTAATTTTTTATAAAATGTATTTTTCAAAAAAGTTATAATACTATTTTAGTTGCTGAAGATGTCCCGATGAAAGGATAAAACGTTCAATAAGATCGAAATAACGTTCTAAACATTTTTAACCTGTCCAACTTCCCTGTGAAACTTTTATTAATAATACAATAATATTTATCGTTAACAAAATAAGAAGAAGCAACCAATATAAGAATATAATTACAATACATGTGCGCACATAGTCTGCGCATGGCTTYACAATGATTACATTTTATAGTTTTATGGCGGTTGAGTATGTATATAAATCTCTTGGTATTTTATTGTTAATTTCGATCAAGAAATGTTAAGACATTGAACGCCGACTTCGCGTTATTACGTCATTATTTTTATAATATGTAAGCATTTTTCAAACATTGATATATTTCACATTCTACTGTTTATTTTTTTCTGCATTTGCTTAATTACTAGCAAGCCATAGATAATATTCTGTGCAAAATCAGATCTACAATTGTTCTGTACAAATTAATTTAAAAGTCAATATTAATACAGTGTCGTTCAATGCGTTAATTTCAATCTTACATTAGTTATAGACTTAAGTACTAGGGATCAGAAAAAAAACTAAAAAAACTGGTCTTATCGTAACTTATTTTAACGGCTATGTAAACGAAGATGTACAATATTTACAGTTGAATAGCAGTAAAATGCTTCTGGTGGTATTAATCCAGATTTCTAAGTTTTTCCAACATTTCTGTCATTTATGAACAATCTACACTAAACAAGTTTTTGACATTGAATAATTTAATAACGTTTGTTACGCGCGTTTTTCCTAATTAATTAAATAATAAAATTACCAATTTTGTATATACATATGCAATCTTACAAATGTTTACATTGCTTTATTGTATTTAATAATTTGATTGTTTAGCTCTAAAAATTTGTAGGCACGATCTCAAGCATTTTTTTTAAATTGTCTAATATATTCTATTTAGCGGTTGTTGATCATAAACCAAATGATATACCCATAAATTATAAATAGTCTAATTAACCCTTTCGCATCGCATAACATATCTTGTGGGTACGAGCGCCGCTTATAGGCGGCGGCCACGCGACAAGACGTGCAGTAAGAATGGCAAAAGATCCGACTCACGACACGAGTGTAAAGAGTGTGATGTTGGTTTATGCGTAGATCCTTGCTTCAGAATTTATTATACAAACTTATACTACTAATCACTTTCTATTAATATATTAACTTGTTTGCGGACAATAATTAATTAAAATTTAAATCTTACTTGTAACTTTTAAGTTGTAAATATTTTCATACCAAAAATGTAAATAATACTCATTATATAGTAACAAAGATTGTTTTATTTAGCAAAATTGTTACTAAAGACCTAGGCAAACGTATATAGAGCAAAAACGCATATTGTGCGTTTTCACGKCGCGCGCATCCGTACAGAGACAGTACTTCGGCGGACTGGACGTCCGAAGCGAAAGGGTTAATACTTGATAGCACAGTATTTTTATACGATTGTTAAAATATTTGTTTYGAAAAAGATTTCAAAATATATCATATAAAATAACCATAAATTTTTGCGAAATATTGATATTCTTTAACACAGTTAAGTAGTAGTTAAATGTTCATAGTTTCTTATACATTGATTGTTACAAAATATCCTTATATTATTGTAAAAATAATCATATTACAGAAATGATGTACATAATACTTTTCTGAAATTTTAAGAATTTGTAATGTAAAAAAATTATGTTAAAGTCGCCATTATACTTACCAAAATTTATATTTTTTATTTTTTTTCTTAAATATACACAAAAGTGTGCATAGATATTCATTTTTAAAAAGTGTTATTTATTATTCTTTCAAAAATTCCGAGTAACTAGTATGAGTCTGAAGTCTTAAGGCTTGCGTTACTTCTTTCTGATATTTAACAAAATAAAATTATATTCATATAGTACATTTTTCTCTTTAGGAACACTGACACATGCATATGTGTAAACTGAGTTGTTGATTATATTAACATTTGTAGATGGCGAAAAATGTTTCAATCCTTTTCGTGTATATTCATTGAATTCCAAGTCCCTTCATAGTCGTTAGATCTTTCATTTTTTACATAAGTGAAGTAAAAAATAGAAAACAAGTTTAATCATTTTCATTTCGCTTTGGAAAATTTTTCGTGTAGTAAGTTAAAAAAATTTGTTATAATGCGTAATTGGTCCTATTCAGATATTAATTCTTCTGAATTCAAATGAAGACGTTTTATCCACTCTTACTAATCTTTTCAAAGAATGTTTTTTATTTTTCACCAAGATTTCAAATGATACACGGAAATTTGATAAAAAAAGTTGTTTTTTTTATTACTGCCGCTTACACCATATTCCATGCATATAAATATAGCCAATTTTTTCCATAAAATAATGTATATTGTGATTGGTAGCTTTTAAAGCATCCATATAGTGAGCAGTCGTCCAGGAAGGATTTTCTACTAATAGTTGCGATAAAAAATCTTCTATCTGGCCGGGTCTTATGAGAAATAATCGACTTAAATGAGAATATTCCAATTCATATTCAATGAAAACATTAAACCAATATTTAATTGACGCTRAACATACTTCAGGAAACTCATAATAACCCAATGATAGAAGCCCTTCTGCAGTATTCTCAACACTTATGCCTCTTTTAAAATTTATCCACAATTTTAACAACACTTCTGTTAATTTCGAAGACATGTTC